TGAGAGAGGTGGAGGAGAACTTGAGAATGCATAGAATGGCGGGTTATAAGATTCCAGATAAGGATCTGAGGGAGCAGATTAAGAAAGCTGTGAAGGAGATGTTGGTGCCGGCTTATGAGAGTTTCTTGCAGAGTTGCTCTGCGGCGATGCAGGGACGGGTGGTGGTGACTCCGGAGGCTTTGAAGGAGTTGATTGGGAGGTTGTTTGAATGCGGCGGTGGTGACGATACGGGGCCGTCGCCTGGAGGGGGGAGGTTGAGGAGGGAGAGGCGGAGGGGGTCGATTATTGATGAAGTTTAGAGAAAGACTCGATTCTCATGTTTTTACATATCTAACATTTAAATTTTAATTTTTACAAATATGTCATTAGATACATATCTAATGTATATGAAATAATGTATTTTATTTTTAAAATAATAAAATATTAATATTTTCGATATGATATGAAAGGTTTTAGTAGTATAAACATTAGAAAAGTGAGGTTCTAAGTGGTAGATATGTAAAATCATAGGAAATGGATGGAATGCATATAAATGGTCCTGAATTTAATGTTGATAAAAAGTTTAAAATTTATTGTGAAATTCTTGAGTTTGAATTAAATATTTGTTTTAGAAACTAAATAAACAAATTGAGCAAATGCATTGTTTTAGTTTTTTGTTGATTTAATGAATATTTTGCTTTGTGATTCTTCATTTTTTTTTAACACACTATGTAATAGATATTTTTTTTTTCCCCCAAGAAAACAATTGAATATATGAATAACAATGCAAGAAAAAAATCTTACGTTTGGAGTCCAGACACTCCAGACGAAGGACGTTGCGTCTGGACAACGACTGCGATCCATCAGAAAAAGTTGAGACTCCGGAAGTATTATTTTTTTCCAAGGCAAGGGACTATGAATTATTTGGTAATTATAAGTTACATATTTTATTTGACAAAAAAAATATATATGGTTAGAAAACTAAAAGTCACCAAATTCAAGTTTGAGCCCAAAGATCGGCCCATCCCACCATTAGCATCGACAATTACACATAAGAACCCCTTAAAACATTGCAATTTACAAATCTCACTTGTTTTTTTTATTTTTTATTTATTTTTTAACCAACAAATTGATGCATTTAGATCTATCACAATCAAATCATTAAGAATTTGATAAAACTGAAAAATATGAGTTGAATTTTCATGGAGATACTTAAAAATTGAATTTGAAAAAAGGATGAAAGTGAGTGCAATATTAATATTTTCGATATGATATGAAAGGTTTTAGTAGTATAAACATTAGAAAAGTGAGGTTCTAAGTGGTAGATATGTAAAATCATAGGAAATGGATGGAATGCATATAAATGGTCCTGAATTTAATGTTGATAAAAAGTTTAAAATTTATTGTGAAATTCTTGAGTTTGAATTAAATATTTGTTTTAGAAACTAAATAAACAAATTGAGCAAATGTATTGTTTTAGTTTTTTTGTTGATTTAATGAATATTTTGCTCTGTGATTCTTCATTTTTTTAACGCACTAGATAATAGATATCTTTTTTTTCCCCCCTAAGAAAACAATTGAATATATGAATGACAATGCAAGGAAAAAATATTACGGCTGAAGTCCAGACGAAGGACGTTGCGTCTGGACAACGACTGCGATCCACCAGAAAGAGTCGAGACTCCAGAAGTAATATTTTTTTTCCAATGCAAGGGACTATGAATTATTTGGTAATTATAAGTTACATATTTTATTTGACAAAAATATATATATATAGTTAGAAGACTAAAAAATCACCAAATTCAAGTTTGAGCCTAAAGATCGGGCCCATGCCACCATTAGCATCGACAATTACACATAAGAACCCCTTAAAACATTGCAATTTACAAATCTCACAATTTTTTTTTTTTTTTTTTGAACGAACAAATTGATGCATTTAGATGTACCACAATCAAATCATAAAGAATTCGATAAAAGTGAAAAAATATGAGTTGAAATTTCATGGAGATACTTAAAAATTGAATTTGAAAAAAGGATGAAAGTGAGTGCTAAATTTATGGATAGCAATGTATGGAGGGTCTTTGGTAGCAACTTTGAATAGAATTTAAAGTCCAATTTTGCAGATTTATGAATTTTCAGATATAAGGGCAAAAATTTTATCATCGATTCAGCTTAAATCCGGATTTGCTAAATCCATTGGGAGGGTGGATTGCATAGATTTAAGATTTAACGATTTACTAAATCCTACTTGCGGCCAAACACATATGTGTGCAATTGCGTATTGTTGTATTTATGATTTTTATTTAATGGGTTTATTTTATGTGATTTATTTTTTTTTATTTTTTATTTTTTTGTTTCTTTTTGTGTCCTCTATAAAAAAGTCATAGCGCTTATAAGAAGAGTATGGATATAGAGAAGTGTTAAGTTGCAATGCTAAGCTGTGTTTCTCCTCATCAGATGCTAGTGGAATCTTCCTCCCTGTGGATGTAAGCAAATTGATTTAGGTCGAACCACGTAAATCTTTGTGTTTGATTGTTGGTGTGTGATTTCTCTATTTTTCCACATTATTTTTGCATAACAATTGATATCATAGACTCAGGTACGTGATGAGGTTCGACGTTGACGACAGCAAATCCAGAGGGTGTTCTGCCTTGCCGACAGATTCACGAAGGCTTTGTTCAAGAATCTACTGCTATGAGCAGGACCAGACGTCAGAATGTCCCAAAACTAGTTTGGTTGGGGATCAGATTGCATGATGAAGACATGGAGTCTCTTCAAAATAATGATATTTGGAGATTGATGAAGCTTCCTCTGGGAAGGAAAGTCATTGGGTGCAAATATGTTTATATAAAGAAGGAAGGATCTCACGGAGCTGATGTGCGGTACAAGACAAGATTAGTGGCAAAATGTTTTCTGCAACGAGAATGGATTAATTATGATAAAGTGCTCTCCCAGTGGCCAAATATCCTGCAATTCATGTTCTCTTAGCACTTACACCACAATAAATCTTATCTAGGAAGCTTGATATGAAGACTGCATTCCTTTGATGTGAAGTCTACATTCCTGCACAAAGAATTGCAATAAGAGATCTATATGTTGTAGCCATGTGGATATGAAGCATTAAAAGACTTAGTTTGAAAATTGGACAAGTATTTATATGGGTTCGAAGTAGTCACCACAGCAATGATATAAAAAGAATTTGATTAGTTCATGAGGGGACAAAAGTACACAAGGAACTAGTATGATCATTGTGTATATTTCAGGAAGTTGGCCAGCAGTGAGTTATTTTAATTGCTTATATATGTTCATGATATGTTGTTATCTGTCAGTCAGATTGAGGTTAACAGGATGAAGAATCAACTGTCCAAACATTTTGAAATGAAGGAGTTGGGTGATGCTCGCAGAATTCTTGGCATGAAGATTCTTAGGAACAAGGCACAAGGTTTGGCTTTTGCAAAAAGCTTATGTTCGGAAAGTGTTGAAGAAATTTTAGGTTGATGACTTGAGCAAGGCGGCGAGTCTACTCATCGCATCTCACTTTCAGTTGAGTTTGGATTGGTTTCCTAAAGATAATAAGAAGAGGAAAGATATGCAATCGATTCCTTATGCTAGTTCAATAGGCAATTTGACGTATGTCATGGTTTGCACTAGACCAGACATTGCACAAGCAGTTGGTGTTGTGCGCAGGTTCATGCATGATCCAAGAAGAAGTCATTGACAAACTGTGAAGAGTATTATGAAATATATGAAATGCACAGTTGACATTGGTTTGGTGTTTGAGAGACGATCGTCCAGTGCAGATTTGTGTGTAAACTGAATTGACTTAGACTATGTCGGTGATATGGATAGACAAAGATCTACGACGGACTATTTATTCACATTGGCATGAGGCTGAGTCAGTTAGAGGTCATTTCTTCAATCTATTATTGTTTTGTCTACTACGAAGGCCGAGTACATTACGATCACAGAGGTAATGAAATAATATGAATGAAGGCTATTAAATGACTTGGGAGTTGATCAAGAGTTTCTAACGGTGTTCTGTGATAGTCACAATACAATATTCTTGGTTAGAAATTTAGTTCATTATGCTTGTTCCAAGCACATTGATGTGATGTACCACTTTGTTCGGGGCTTGATTGAAAACGACAATGTTCCATTGAAAAAAATAGATACAAAGGACAATCCAACGGCATGCTCACGAAGGTACTATTAGTCCAAAAGTTCACCTATTGCAGGAATTTTGTGAACTTTTGAGCTCAAGATTGATTACCCAGTTGGGCATTTTGAAGAATTATGCGAGCCTTAATCCATTCGGGAGGGGGATACGTAAGCAACCATCCAGGTGCATCTGATTTGGAGTTGAAGATCAGTCGATCATCTCTCACTTATATGAAGGTAAGAGATGAGCTGGAGATTATTGTAATGACTTTTATTTAATTTGAGTTGTTTCTTTTTTTGATTTTTTTTATATGCTATAAATCTCGTCTATAAAAAAAGACTTGGGGCTAATAAAAGAAGTATGGGTATAAAAAAGTGTTGATCTGTAACTCTAAGCCGTCTTTTATTTCTCCCCATCTGATGCTAGTGGACATAGACGTATTATTTTCACATAACATGCATTACCTAATTTCACGTATTAATTTAACATCGAACCACGTAAATCTTTGTATTTGATTGTTGTTATGTGAATTTCTATGCTTAAGCATTATTTTCGCATAACATGCATTACCTAATTTCCAATTAATTTCTGGTTGATCTGCCCAATTAGCCACCAAAAAGCACTCGAACTGTAATTAATCATAAATAATTTAAAAATTAAAATAAACAATATGAAATCTATAATTTAAAATTTTAATAATATTTTTAGACTTTTAACTTAAAAGCACAGAAGAGCATTCTCTGTTCCATATACATTAAGGAAAAATAAAATAATTGAGACAAAGAATTATATTGTTTATATATATATATAAATTTCATTGGTCTTAAGTAGAAAAAAATAATAAACCACAAATTATTTACCGGATATATTTTTATTGTTACCGTTGGCTGTAGCAATCAGAATTGGTCTGTCAAACAATCTGACAATTTTGGTGTTTCAATTGCAGCTTTTCTCCCCCCAGATGTGCTCACCACCTTAATCTTGAACACGGCCTGCATAAACAAAGTATTCTTACTCTTAATTATTTTTAAAAATAATTGTTATGGCCATCTTGATTTCTTTTAAATCAAAATTTATTTTTAGGAAATCAAATTGTACAAGAAAATATGTGTGTCCTGGAGAAAGGCACGTGTCAAAAGATCCAAGTGAGATCGGAATAATCCAAAATAAGAAAAAACTAATAAAATGATGACAAGTTGACCGACCAACCATAAATCCACCTAAGAGCTAGTTAAATCAAGAGCCAACCAACTCGGATGATTGATCCGCTCAGGAGTGGATCAGGTGAACTCGGTCGACCCTCAAAAGCCGAGTGGCAGACTCGAGCAATGGTTGACTAAAGGAGATCGAACTGCCAAGAAAATATGAAAGGTGCATTTATCATCTCACAATAGTTTTAATTCTCTATAAAAAGAGGATGGGTTGGTAACTATAATTTAAGACCATAATATTTAATTCCTCTCACACTCTCTCTCTCTCTCTTCATTCTCAGAGTCCAACAAACATATTTTATTGCAGATCAAAACTTAAATTAATCAAAACTAAAAACAAAACTAAAAACAAAATGAAGGAGAAAACATACTTTCTTATCAGAACCAAATTGAATTGAGAAAGATGAGCGCAAGCGAGTGGGGAAATTTGGTGGAACTTTGTATCTTCTTCCTTCAGTGCTGCAGTTATAAAAAATTAACATCTTCTCCAAATTTGTATAATGGAAATGAAAATGAAAATGGCTCTGTTTCTTACTCATTGATCCAGGTGCCATGCTGCCTCTGCAAGTTAGTCAAGTAAAAGATGTTATCTTTGCATGTAATACGTGCGTGGGATTTATGCACCTATAAAACAAAAGTTTTTTTAAGGTCAATCACATAATAAATAGTCCCTGAAAAGATCAGAAGTGTAATAAAGAAAATTGCATAAAGAACTTACACAAAACTTTTTATTACATCACCTGAGAAAAAGGTAAATGAATTGATGTTCCCTCCGAGTCATGATGCAAAACACTCCTGCAAAAATCAGTAATTTGCAACACTGAAAACTTCTTCCATGAAGATGAACCAGAAGATAAAATGGGAAAGCAAATTACCCAATGGTATAAAATCTCTTGTCATCTCTGACCAACCGAATAGGCTGTAAATCTTCATTATTTACAGGAAATAGATACCACCTATATAAAAAAAAAAGCAACATTTTTATTTTAACAAAGTGAGAAAAAAATAGATAATAAGTTGAAAAAGAATATTTTTTATTATTTGTAAAGGAAAACATACTCTCCACCAAGAGCTCGTTCTAGGGCATCATCATCTTCAAACCACTTCTGTAATTGGTCGCTTGCCTTAATGATGCAGTAGAACTCGGGATTAGGGGTTTTTAATGCAATTAACATTATTGGTTAATATGATTTCATGCAGAAGGAAATTACAGATTCAATGATCACTAACATGAGGGAGTTTCAACTACAGATTTGATAGCAAATGAAAGAATTAATTTCCATAGTACTCTTAGATCAGAATGTCAATTCTTCAGGCATTTACATACATAACACTTAATTCCTATGTATTTACATATCAAGCACTGAAACTTTACTTTTTTACATTTATACCACCCAAATCTTTCATATACATAAAAACTACAACCATTTTAACCATCTTTTCATGCATAGGTAAGGTGATAAGCATGTAAAAATCGAAATTTAGGAGTTAGATATGTAAATACATGGAAATTGAGTGGTATGCATGGAAATCTTCCCAATTGTTTTCATGTTAAACAGACTGATGTACACATATCACACACACACACACACAAACACACATATAAAAAATTTTAATATGATATATTCTTGTTTATAATACTTCTTATGCATTCCCTCATGATGAAATCATCCTTAAATGGACCTGTCTAACCTTATAACTTACAAATTAACTGCTAAAATTTATACATGGAAACTTGTTATGGTAAAAATGCAATTAGCGCGTTTACTGAAAGTTATAAGTGTTTTGAATCAAAGAAAGTAACCCAGTTTCTTAACAATGATTTTTATCTCTGAATTATCAGCAAGTACCTTGTCGGACAGGCGACAGTTCGGTGATCTTCCTTCAAGCTTTGAGCTGTAGAAGAAGGTAAATTTTATGAATTCTATGTTCCGCTGAGGTATGATTGTCAATTTCTAGTTATAATAAAATCAAATTTATAGAAAAGACTATGACACACCGGAATATACGAAACCACCATAATATCTAATATTAATATTATTTTTATATTATATCAAATCCTAAAATAATCCTCTGTATTGCTAGTTTAATCTCAGAGTATCACATTTCTCTAATTGATACAAATTTCATCTCATTTTAATCTCTCAACTCTATAAAATTAATCTAAATTAAGTCCTTGAGGGAAAATATTGGGTGAATTTTGTATAGTTGAAAGACTAAATAGAATAAATATAATACTCTGGGACTAGATTGGTCACATGCATATAGTTGATGGACTAGTAGGGAGTTTCACAACCATAAACCTATATTAAAGAGAGGTGGTTTTTGCAACTTAATGTTATGACATCCAAGCCATAAAAAAATAAAATTAGTCCCCATACTTCATTAATATGAGCTGCAATAGTCCTACAACGAGGTTTGGGGACTAATTTGTTAAATTTATAGACTCTGAACCAAAATGACTCCCTGCAAAGAGTCAAGCAATCATTTTGGCATTTTTCTCCATAAAATAAAAATAACTTGCATATGACGAACCTGCTGCCACCTAGGACCCAGCTCAACATTAAAGGCATCACATAGTTGATGACAAGTCTGCCACCAATTCTCCCAGGATGTGGTATTTTAAACTTTGTCAAAAACTGTCATGGTATCATATCATTCATCCAAAGAACTAGTTAAGAGATTTTGAAATGTAGCCCAAAGCATGATTATAAGTTAAGGTGATGATAAATCGACATCATACCGAAAAGGGTCCGATCCCTACACCCAAATAAGGCCTGTAAGTAGAAGCCATATTAGCAGCCATTCTTGCCAATCCATATATTACGGCCACACGAAGTCTTCTTTCTTTCTCATATCTGAGAAATCACATCTACAAATGCCACTGATTCTACTAAAAGAATGCAAAACAGATACTCAAATGTCGAGTTAAAGAGAAAGCAAAGGCATTTTATTTTAAAATTTCACATTTGGTATTTGGTTCTAAATGTAATTATAAGGCATTTGGATTTACTAAGGAAATGTGAATAAATGCAATTTTTCCATTAAAAAGAATGTAAGATGGATGAAACAAAATCAATCATAAGTCTACCACACTAAAAAATAGAAAGAGTTTGAATTTTAAGCTTCTTCATAAATTCTTTATTGTTTCATAAATTGCAAGTCTTCGGGGCTTTTTGGTAACTGCTTAAGCTGCTTTAGTAAATCTTATAAATCTGGATTTACTAAATCCTACCAACAGCAGGATTTAGTAAATCCAAAATTTAAGGCAAAATTGAGAAGAAAGCTAAGAAGAAACTGAATTTATGAAATCCAAAAATTAGAAGTACCATTTTTGCTGTCTGACAAAATTTAAGCTAAATCTCACTTGTATCCGTTACCAGACGGTGTAAGATTGCCCAACTTTGTAATACCGTTAGAAGATGAAGAAACTTACCGTTCTAGGGAAGCTTTTATGTTCATGGGTTTTTTGCTCTTAATGCTTTCTTTCCAAGCTTTCTCAAGTTCAAGCGCAAGCTGATAGCTATCCTAAAAGGGTAACAAAAAGTTCAGCTAAATTGAACCTACATATAAACAAAGGGCAGTTCTTAAATTAAGATATTTCATATGAACTCCAAAGAAAAAAATAAAAGTATGAATCATACCTCAATAGCCATACAGCCACCCTGACCCAAGTTTGGCTGCATGGCATGAACCGAATCCCCAAGCAATGTTGCGCGCCCTTTTCCCCACGTAAAAATTGGGACACGATCATAAATATCACGTCGGACAATAGCTTCTTCGTCCGTCGCAATTAGTAAATCAATCACATTATCACACCACCCATTAAATATCTTGAGCAATGTTTCCTTTTTACCTAATAGGATGATCGTACATGATAAATTAGCATTCAAAGATTACAAGAAAGTGAACTCAATGGCCAATTTTACTTTGCTTTTGTTGATGAATTGTCTTTTAGGTACTTGGATATATTTAGCTCCAAAATAAATAAAAAAATGCATAATACTTTCAATGGCAAATTATACTTTGCTTCAAATAAAATGATTGGTTACCGTTTCAAAAACGTAGGCCCCATTTGAGATCACTTTTGTTTTTTTTTCTATTTATTATTATTATTATTATTATTATTATTATAACTATTATTATTTTTTTTAGTTTTAAATTGAATGAAAGCATGTTTGGTTGTGGTAGTTACCTTTAAAAACACTCAAAATATTTTTGAGGTGTTTTGCGTGTTTTTAAAAATAAAATGATTTGTTTTTAAAAACAAAAATAAAAACATATAAAAGTCATACTAACCAAATATGTTTTCAAAAGCAATACTAAAAATAGAAAAAACAAAAGCCACACCAACCTATTAGGAGTGAACTACTTTTTCGGATGATATAAAGTCATCTACAAGCTTGTTATTATGGACGGGTGCATCAAGAGGTGATGAAATCACAACGTTGGAAGAAAAATATATCAATTTCATTTAAAAGATTGATTGCATACATTTATATTAAATAAACAACATAGTTCTCTAGTTTACTACTATTATTATGATATGTTACAAAATCATGTATATTAATAGTGCAATAAAAAATTAACATTAGATAATAAAAAAGATTGTTAATTTGGAGCATAAAAATGTATTAATTAATGCGTACATATGTGTATTTTATAGTTTCAACTTCAACATAACAAAGTTCATAGGATTTAAAAATTGGTAACTTACAAGTTACAACTAAATTATTTTATACATTTTTTAAGTCCTTTATAATTATAACATATCAAATAGCTTAAAGCTTATGCAAATTAGAGGTGCAAACTTCACACATGAACTAAGAGGCAGCTTGGTATAACCTTTTTTGGTCTTATTTCTATTTTTTGTTTTCAAATTTTTTAGTATTATATAAGTGTTTTTTATTATTTAATAAATAATAATAATTTATTTTTAAAAACAGTCAAAACAACTTTTACATGTTTGCTTTATTTACAAAGCAATCCCAGCTGCCTAACCTTGCACACCAGTCTGTCCAGCCACGCAACAATCACTAGCCACTCCAACTCCCATCACCATGTGAAACGTGTTGTCTATCTTTGCCTACTTCTATTTTTAAGAAATGGTTTGTTGGAATGACTAGCAACTGGTGATCCATAATTCCTCAATTTTTCTTAGCATAAGAGCATAATAAACTTCATATTATTATTCTCTTTTGCATGAGAGCATGCTACACATCATATTAGTTTCCCTTAAGAATGGCTAACCTTAAATCATATTAGTTTCCCTTAACAATGACAGGTTTTAAACTGCCTTATATAGATCAATCTCGAAAGCTTTAATTCCGTTCAAAGACCCCCCATTAAATAAACATATTTTAATTCAAATCAAAACATAAACAAAACAAAATAAAAATAAAACAAAAATGATCCCTAATGGCTCCCTAGTAACTAAAGATTAAATCAAAAAAATAAAAATAAAAAAGCGTAAGAAAATAGAAAAAGAAAATCATTAGAGGGGTAATACCATTTGGGACATCAGAGCCACCAGGTGGTTCATTATGGAATGCATACCATTGCATTTTTCCAGCACCAACATCTAAAGAAACAAAATATTGCTTGTGACCAAGAAAAACACGGTACCTTCAAACAAAAACAAAATTAAATATAAAAATAAAAATAAAAAAAATATCCCTCAACCATTAGACAACATTGTAAGCAAAAAAAATGTAATAAAAATTTCATACACTATATAATAATTAATGCTCTCTTCAATTACTCTCCACTTATTGAAGAACCAAAAATAGCAACAAATTTCTAAGAATTACATACAAATAAAAGAAAAAAAGCTCCAAGTGGGAATTATACCCAACAGTGTCTATATCAGGGGGTACAAAATCTGCAATTCCAGTATAGCAAGTATATCCAGAGTACGATGCCTCGTTGTAGCCAAATAAGATCTCCCTCACCTGCTTGCATAGTGTATATAAATGTAAAAAAGAAAAGTTTAGGAGTTAGATATGTAAATACATAAGAATTGGTGGTATGTCTTAGTACCTTTGACCAAATACCATCTGCTCCAACAAGAAGATCACCTTCATACTGCTGACCATTTTCAAGAATCACAGTAACCTACGCTTGAAGGTCATAACATATTAGGCCTTCTAATAACGTACAAACAACATCATAAACATGACCACATCATTCCCCATGCAACCTCTCCACTAACATTGTACTTTGTAAATGTTGAAATTCAAAATAACAACATACAAATAAAAAAAGAGACCAACGAATGGAAGCCCTTCTAACCTTGTTTCCATGGTCGACAAAATCTACAATTTTACTATCATTTAAAATATCGTCATCACCAACAGCACGGGCTAATATTTGCTGCAACGACATACGATTTATGATCCTCGTAACAGGAAGGCCGCGTTCAACGGCTGGAGTGAAAGTATCAAACTTGATATACCTGAATACCAGCGGGGTGCTAGGTTCTTTATGTGAATAACAAAATATTTACCAAATAGCAACTTTTAAAGAAAAATGCATGGTATATACGAAACGTGATAGAAGTGCAAATGAAATGTTTCCTAGGCTTTTTGAGTTGTTAACAGTAATGACCAATATTGTTTTTTGCACAAGCTTAGAGCTTAAAGATGAACCAAGTTATTTTACACTACATTGGCGTAAACTAAGATAACATTTTTATTGAAAAAAAAAATTTATGAAACCAATCTAATGTAGAAGCAGTTAGATTTGCATGGAGCACCAACATTTTCAGTTGTTTGAACATGGTCCTTCATTGGATATGTTGAGAAATTAGGGTGAAGAAACACAGGAATCGACACAAATCCAGAAGAGAACACAGAATTTAGCGAGGTTCGGCAAAGATGCCTACATCCTCGAGAGCAGAGCGGCGAATTCCTTTCAAAATTCAGAAAAAAATACATAATACAAGATTCAGCTCACATAGGGTTACAGACACGACATATATATATAACTCTATAGTACAATATGAATTACTTAAATTACCCTGTACCAAACCGCGGGGTGTTGCCCCGCAATCCCAACCCAAATAATTAAACTCCCCCGATTGGACAGATCTTTTCGCTCTACTCTGCTCGTGGGCTCCACTCCGCTCCATCATCTATCTCATTTATGGTATATGAGTCATCCCTAAAAAATCTCCACATTGACGAAAATCCAGCCCCTTAGGAGAAATACATATACCGAAAAAATCTCCACCTTGGCGAATATCCACCCCTTAGGAATCTCCATCTCGGCGAATATTCAGCCCCTTGAGAGAAATACATATGTCTAACAAATCTCCACCCTCGCGAATATTCAACCCCTTAGGAGAAAATATATCATGGAGTTTCTTATGCACCAGTGCAGGTTGGGTCACACATCCTTTTAAATAATCACTTAATTAAGATTCTCTTAATTAAGTTTCCCAGAAAAAAGAATTTCACTTAATTAACTTTTCTTTAATTAAATTTTCTTAGAAATCTTTTTTCTTAAACTTCCAAGAAAAGCTCCACCTCCGGTTTCCAGAAAAGCTCATTTTTCCTTCCGGAAAAGCTTTGCTTTCCGTCTTAGAAAAACTCTGTTTCCTCCTTCCTTCCATAAAAGCTCCGCCTCCGCTTTCCTTCAAGAAAGAGATCTTTCCTTTCCCGAGTGCAGCAGTAGATTCAATTTCCTTGTCTTTCTTGTGTCCTGGAAAATCTTCGGAATTTCTCCGCCTTAAATTTTCTTTTCCGCTGACTTTCCTTTTCTGTATCCGCACTTCCAATTTTGCTTCCCGCCGCTACCTTTGCCGCTCGAACACCTCTGTCTTTCGCACCAAATCGCTGCCTTACCCATCGGTTCCTGAGACTGTGCCTCGCCGATCGCGAAGTCTTGCTCGCCGACGATCTCGCGACTTCTCCCGTCGTGACCCTTCTCTGCGTGAACTACTGTATCGCGATCTTCCGCACGACTAAAGTGTCGTGAATCCTCAAGCCTGAAATCCTTCCCTAGCCGTCAATCATCTCTGCCAAAATCTTCTTTATTCCTGTGCCGCCCAAATTTTTCTTCCCTGTTCTAAAACTTCTCTCTGATACCACTTGTTAAGAAATTATGGCGAAAAAAATAAGAATTGACACAAATCCAGAAAAACACAGAGATTTACGAGGTTCGGCAAAGATGCCTACATCCTCGGAGCAGAGCGGCGACTTACTTTTCAATATTCAAAAAAGAATGCAGAATACAATATTCAGAATCTCAGGGACTCAAAGACTCACCTATGGTTACAAACAGGACATATATATAACCCTGTAGTACAATATGTAATTACTTAAATTATCCGTGCACCAAATCGTATGGTGTTGCCCCTGCACCCCCAACCCACATAATAAAACTTTGCCAATTGGACAGATCCTTCCGCTCCACTCCGCTCGTCGACTCCGCTCCGCTCCAGCATCTGTCTCATTTATGGTATATGAGTCATACCTAACAAATCTCCAGTTTGACGAATATCCAGCCCCTTAGGAGAAATACATATACCCAACAAATCTCTACATTGACGAATATTCAGCCCCTTAGGAGAAATACATATGCCTAATAAGTCTCCACCTTGACGAATATCAAGCCCCTCATTAGAAAATATATCATGGAGTTTCTTATGCACCAGTGCCGATTGGGCCATCACGCTTCCGTTGCGCCCTTGCTCCCCCCAACCCACTAACTTTCAAGAGACACTCAATTGGGCCATCACGCTTCCGTTGCGCCCTCGCTCCCCCCAACCCACTAACTTTCAAGAGACACTCATCTTAAATTCCAAAAGACATCTTTTCTTCCAAGAGACTCCAAATTTTGGTATTATGAGTCATACCTAAAAAATCTCCAACTTGGCGAATATCCAGCTGCTTAAGAAAAATACATATGTCTAATAAACCTCCACCTTGGCAAATATCCAGCCCCTTTGAAGAAAATACATCATTGAGTTTCTTATGCACCTACGTGGGTTGGGCCATAAATCCTTTTAAATAATTCCTTAATTAATTTTCCCAGAAAAACAACAAAATTTTTTCAAAAAAAGATTGAAGTATTCTCTTAATTAAGGAAAAGTCTTTCCCTTAATTAAGTTTCACAGAAAAGCAACAGAATCTTTCCGACAAAAGGATTAAAACATTCTCTTAATTAAATTTTCTTAATTAAGTATTTTTTTAATTAAGTTTTCTTTAATTAAACTTTTCCAGAAGTCTTTTTCCTTAAACTTTCAAGAAAAACTCTCATTTACTTCCCGAAAAGCTCAGCCTCTGCTTTCATGACAAACTCATAGAAAAGCTCCGCCTCCTTTTTTTTCTTCTCAGAAAAGCTCTGTCTGAAAAGATATAAGCTCAAGAACTTTGCTAAATATGCACATGGCACTGCAATGACCAGAAACAGTAAACAAGAGGGATATGAAGGGAATTATACCAGGTACCAGAAATGCCGTCCACAATACCATTTATCCTATCTCCAGTTATATATCCTGTCTGCATAATTTCATCGGCGATCTGCAAGTCGATAGCCTCGAGCGCTGCAAGTGCGTTGCTCTGAATCTGAATCGGCCCCCTATACTGTCCCTCCCCTCTAATCGCGCTCATGTCCTTCTCGAACACCAACACATCAAAACCCTTCCTTTTCGCCGCCAGTGCAAACACCAACCCGCCTGTCCCGCCGCCGGCGATGAGAATACGAAGCTTATTTCGCTTCGCATCCAACACAGGCTGATCAGACTCCACCCGATCCAGAGTGCCGGTAGCTAAGGCAACAGTGCCCCTATCTTTCCACCTCTGCTTCCCACAGCCGTAAAAATGATTCCTTTCGAGGGGAACTGGTGAAGAGTCGTCAGAGAGGATGACAGGAGGAAGAAATGAGAAGTGGGTTCTGTGCAAGAAAGTAGGAGAAGGTAGGAGGGTGGCGCGGACGAGCGCCATGAACGACGATGGCTTGAGAAATCTAAGTAACTTATACTATTAGCAGAGGCAGTGGCCAGTGGAGTGCCCGGGGAACTGAAGTCTCCAAAAGACCAAGTTTTGCTCGCACATATCGCTGTTTTCTTCAGCTGCTTTCTTCAACCACAGACCTATTTCTACATTTTCTTTTTTTTTTCTGGTGGCCGACATCCCTCATGGGAGTGGTGGGGAAGCCAGAGCAAGCAGTTTTTTAGCGGGGATAACATGGCGGCCGAGTTGAAGGTGGACGTATTGACAGGAGATCGGGATAGATCTTTAAGCCAAATTTGTGGGTGGATTTCAAGTCTTTTTGATGATGCTTTACTTTATCCGCGCCAGGGCATCAAGACAAAGCCCGGGCATCTGTCAAATTGTCAAAATACACCCATATCACAAATAAATTTATTTAATAGTTCATATTTTATATTATAATGTGTTAAGATTTTTTAAAGGGCTTTAAAATGAAATTTAGTCTTAATATGAAATAATTTTTTTATGATGTAAAACAACCAAATTTCTTGTTTTCATTGCATCTGAAATTGACAATAAATATTTTTAATGCACATCTCCACCATGCTCTCTCATCGCAAATCTTAGTTATCATTGCCATCATAATTCTCCACCTCTACATGTTAATGAATTAAGAATATATTATAATTAAAAAAATTAAGGGCTTTTTTATATATGGAGGTCTCCAAACTATAGCTATTACATATAGAGGCCCCAAAATATTTAATTTACACTTGAAAGACTCTGTTATAGTGTTATAGGTCCAATCTCTCCTCGTTGTCTCCCCCCTACGGCTCTGCCGCCTCCTATCACTGATTATGCCAATTTATGAACCGCTAGACACTTACGATGATGTCTTCCCGACAATAAATCTTTGATATGTTCGATATAGTGTGGACTATAATATAACATTTCCTTGGTTCTTACTCTTTATGTAGCCTTATGAGTGCAAGGACACCTGATGAGGCACATGAACATAAATAGAAAGGGGGTAGATATCTTTATTTTCACATCCTCTACTCATCTCACAAGATCTCTTTTAGGCTGTTAAATTCATGAAATATGTAGGACCGAATATCCAAAAGGTTTTAACACAAACTAAACTAAAATAAATATAGCATATCTCAACTTATAAATTAAACCAAATCAATAAAATGAACTCAGTTTGATTTGATTTTGGTCTTGACCAAACTATCAGATTAAATAACCCGATAAACAACATCTCAATCGTGAACTTGAATAGAATGGTGGTAGAATTGAATGAGAAAAGTTCTAATTTTTTAAGATTTCGGTGAAAATATTATTTATTAACAAGATTTTGAAAAAAAAATAATTGCAAAATAATAATTTAACTTTTTTTATTTGAAAGAGTAATAATATAATGTTTAAACTATTAAATTTACAAGGACTAAGATTTATTTGAATGAGCTCTTAAATTCAAATGCAAAAATCTATATTTATGTATGCAAAGAAAGAAACAAATTTTTCCACTTGAACATAATTAAGAAATATAATCAAATTAAAATATGAATCAAGAATGTATTATTGTACATTAAAAAAAAGCAAATATAAGTAAATTGTACATTAAAGAAATTAAAAGGCATCCGATGGGCAATTTTGTCATTGCTCTTTTGGAGATTTTTATGTGTGGTGTCAGAGATTCCGAACTCTCCACCTACTCTACGTCAAGAGACCCACAAGGCAACTCCGCTAGAAAGGTTTCTTGTTGGGGTTCCTAAAATAGAATTTATATAATAATGTAGCGGTGTTATTTACCCCTACTTTTTATTTATTAGCATATTTAACTACTAAACTTTACTATCTTTTTTTTTTTTTTACGCATTTACGGTGACTAAATCTTTCAAGACGAACCTAATGATATCGAGAGTGATCTAATTTGAATCCGAATAAGCCTAAATCAAACACTTGAAGCGTTATAAGAAAATTTGATGAATCAATTTAAGGGTCAAACAATCTTAAATTTTGGCATGTTTATATTCAAGTTAAGCATCTCGATGAGAAAAATCTAACAAGCCTAAGGTCATTCAATTTCGATGCCCTTAAAAAATTAAGAATCTAGGCTCTGTTGTAGGGCTTCGCGGCACTCCACCGCTAATCTCCGCTCTTTGAGAGCGCCGCAGGGAAACTTCGCGGCCACCACACTAGGAATTTTTTCTAAAAGCCGGCCGCGGGATCGACCCCGTGGCCGGCGTCCTGCGATTCTATTTTTACCCGGTTGCCCTTCGATCTTTCGGTAGTTCGGGTTGTTACGCGAAATCAGGCTCCGCTCCTTCCCCCTCCTTCTCTCGGGTCGTTCGTTCATTGGTCATCTTCTCCGACAGTTCGGCTCATTCGTCCGTCTTCTTTGACAGTTCGGCCTGTTCGATCTTCTTCCTTTATCTACCCGTCGAAACGAAGCCCTGTCCATCGGTCTCCTTGCTCTTCCATCCTCTCCCTCAAAGCTCTTCTATCCTCTCCCTCAAAGCTGCGCAGCCCGTCGAAAGGTCGTTGTGACCTCTGTGGATCGAGCGTTTCATGTCGGAAAAGGTAAGGCTGCTTGACTGTTATTCATTTCAGTCTTTCGTTGAATCCGTGATCTCCGATGACGACATTTGCTTACAGAAATTGCAACCGATCTCTTTGGTTAGTGGACACCTTCGATCGTGGAGATTGAAGAATATAGCGTTAGCCTCTGCAGCGAAAACAGTGCGCCTCCCGAGCTCTTTACATTTGCTTCTTCTTTCTCTGCCTTTTTTTTTGCCTCTTTGGTCTGATCTATCCCGTTTCTTTTCTCTGCCTCTTTTTTTTTTTTAAGTTAGTTAAAACTTTTCTTTTGTAGGCAACTTATAACTTGTTTGAATGTGAGGCACGTGGAGACAACTAAATTTGTAGCATCTTGTCATTTTGTGCTTGATGTTAAAATAGAAAACATGTTGCCAAGATTGATTTTTATTGTATTTCATTATAGGAATTTGAGGCTGTGTTGTCTTGGAAAAACACTAGTGAATCAGAATTTACTTACTACTCATTGGCCTCGAACATTATTTTTTATTTCACTGTTAATTGCTTGGAACTTTCTTTTAATTTAGGTCTATTAGTTGTGGAGGAGAATAGGAGCATATTGGCAGAGTGAGAAACTTTGATTCTTTTTATTGGTCTCTTGTAGTTCTGCTTTCTGAGCAAACTCTATTTGATGGTGTTTCGATGTTGGACGTTTATTGAAAGCCAAAGTATCGGTTTGTTTTGGAATACAAAAACTCCTGAGATTTGTTGTTAAATTTGATGAACTATGAGATTCAAGTGCATCAAGCGCTAAAATTTAATGGAATGTCCAAGCTGTTTGGAATGTTCGATATAAACTGTGTGATGAAAATTATCTTTCTTGCTTGGATTTTTATATTTTTCTTTGAGCATTAAGTTCAGCAAACACATTCTATCATATTGTAAAATCATGATTTTTATTCTTTGTTAATTTTCTTAGATGGCCAGAAGCTGTTTTGTAACATGTGACAGATAAAGCTAATTTCATGGTGATTCTTAGTGCTCTTTATTAGCTATGTCTTTATGATCGTGATTGGTTTTGTCATTAATCAATTTTAATCAATTTGTTTATTGTTTACTATTATACATCCTTTGTGATAGTGTTTTTGTCATTAATCAATTTGTTAATTTTTTTTTACACAAGTTTTTTTTGTTATGTTACAATAGTTTATTTTATTTTAGCAATACAATGACTAGAATTATCAAAGATATCGGTACACCGGCAATATGAGAAAAAATAATAATATTATTATTTTGTGACCTCTGGCTTAAGGAGATTAAACTTGGAAATAGACCCGTAACCTATTTTAATAAGAAAGAATGTCAACATATTATCGAAAATTTCAAAAAAAGTACGGGCAAGGTGTATGACAAGTTGCAAATGAAGAACAAGTGGGATCAACCCAAGAAGGATTGGAAAATTTGAAAGGAATTGTAACGAGGATCAACGAGTTTGGGTTGGGATCCAATGAAACGAACAACTGATGCTTCGGATAAGTGACGGGCTGAAAGACTTACGGTGAGCAATGTATCATTCATATAATTTTAATTATTTTATTTTTTAGGACTCATTGGGTTTCTCTCCCGGCCGGACCCTGACGAAGCTCTGCTAAGGGAATCGCTTGCCAGAGCGCTGGACGCCTTGCGAGCCAATGTGGAGATGAAGCGTGGGAGGTATGGTAAATACATAAATTTGTCTGATTTATGTAAATGCCCCTTAATCGAAATGTTTTTGTATAACAGGTCCAGGGACAGAGTGGCGGAGCAACTCTTCGCGATGAACTCATGCTGGTACATGTACATGAGGACACGTGGTTCGGAGCTAGCTCGGCTGGTGGGCTAGGAGGAGATGAGAGAAAAGTACAGAGCGGCGGCG